GATCCGCAACACTAAGGTGATGATTTCTGTTCGGTCCTCTTTGGACATAATCGATTCGGTTTCTTTTATAATGGAATTGAATTTTATATTGGAATCGATATATTTCAATTGTATTAATTTGAATGTATAGAATGTTGCGTTGCATTAAATCCTTTTTATAATTGAATGTAATTTACATTGGAATCGTTATATTTTTATTTATTGATTTGAATTATAGAATATTGCGTTGTATTGAATCATTTTTTATAATTGGATTGAATTTATAGAATATTGCGTTTCATTGAATCCATTTTTATAATTGAATTGAATTTATGTTAGAATCAATGTATTTGAATTTTTATTAATTTGAATTTGTAATAATTTCAGGTTCTTCTGCGTGATGACGTTGCAATCGCTATTTGGACAATACGGCGGCTGTTGCTCGCCTGCTGTTATGGGACAATACTTATGCGCTGTGGTGGAGCTGTCAACGATAATTTTGACAGGTTGGGTTATGTTGCCCATGATAAGTAATGTTTACTCTATTATTATGGTATTATATCTATTAATATTCTCTCTCTTTTTGCAGGATATGCAGGACATGCAGGTTTCTCTGTCTACAAGGGTAAGTATGCAATTATTCTAATTATATATGACCATCTTTAGCCTGGTAATTAATTATTTTATATTTCTATTTTCAGATATTCTTGGATATCACCGGAGCATTGGGATATTTAATCTCCGATGGACTATATGGATTTGGATTTTGGGGATTTCTCGACCTTGAGGAGAAATGGAATTTATTTATTATCATTTGTTATAAGTCTGAGTGCAACATCGATGGAGAATTTAATATTTTTAATATTTTCAATATTTTTAAGCGTTGATTGGTGGTGAAATTTACTATCTTTACTCTCATTTGTTGATTATTCATGTACTTCCAATCAATAAAATGTGCCTTCAACTAGTGATTTTGAGTGCTTTTGATGGAGTCTTTCCATTGCTCTAAAATATTTATGTTATTATTTATTTTTGGATTTTGAGTGTGTAGACAAAACTAGATCAGTAGTTATTCAGGGGTCATAGCCATGGATCATAAACGTTCGATGTATCATTTTAATGATAATTCTCTTAATAACCAGAGAACACGTATGAATACGTGACAATGTTCAACGCCGGCATTAAAGCTAGCAGTACGCTCTTGAATATTTCTGCTGCCGCAGAAACTGTTTCAACACCGATGAAGTCGAAATCAAGGCCCCACCGACGAAGACAATGACCTCAACAACAACTCGCCAGAAAAAATGAAGGACTCTCATGCAAATACTCAGCGAGGTGGAGGAAGAATTGGAATCAACAGAAGCTGTGAAACCAGATAAAACGCATCTTCTCGAAGAAAAGAACGAAAAATTGGATTCAGTAGATGGTAAATCTCAACTCCGGGAAAATTTAATACTGATGGAAAAGAGGAGGAACCGGTGCCCGTCGAAATGTTACGTATTCCCCCGAATTTCCATGAAAAATAATAAATTTATTTTTTACGGATCATAGGAAAATTACTGATGAAGTTTGAGACAAATTTGACGAGAATTTAGGGAAGTCATGTTTAAGCAATAGCCGCCGAGCGGTAGCCGACCGTCGCTTGACTTGCCGTTACTAGGTTGGGTTGGCACTCTCGTTTTATCGTCCGCGTTTTCTCCATTCTCTTGAAAATATTATTTGGAGTATCAATCGATCTCCGGGTTATGACGGTTATTTTCAATTTACTTACGATTTCTCAGCTGGAGATTGAATTCGAATAAATTTTTCCTCGCCTCTGGTTTCTCTTCCTCTCGACTGGATGTGGGATGTTAAATGCTGGATGCTGCGATCTAGGGAAGAGTTCAGGCCCTCGATGACGATGTCAATGGATGAAGCCAAATGGTCGTTGATGTTGAATTTCGGGTTGAATTAATTATTCTTTCTCCGCACTTCTGTCGGGTCGATCGATGGTTCCGAGTGATTGTAAAGAATAATTTTTAATAATTAGTTTGATGAGGTTTTTAGAATTTCTCACGTCGAACGCATTAGAGAACTGGCTGGCAAAATCGAAAGATCTGTGAAGCGTTTTAATAATTCTCGTGGGGTACCCAAGCGGCAACAGCCCCTTTTCAAGGCCACTGGATGTCCGCTGGTTACCTCGGCAAAATTATTAGAACGTTTATGACCGGATCCAATGGCTTTAATTTCAAATGTGAATGTTGAGAGTAGGATTTTCATGATTTTAGTTAATTTAGGAGAGATTCAAACAACTGATAGCCATAAGTGATGGTTCGGCCAATAGACGACTCGCGACCATACTCTAGATCACCAATTTCCTGATTATTAATTGCATTAGGGAAAGAACGGATTAACTTGCCCAACTACCCCCTGTTCGGGAAAAGTGGCCAAACAAGTCACCATTAATTCAACTAACACATGTTCTGCTGATAATTCCTAAAAACTTGAGAAGTTTATCCCCAGCCGTCAGCCGCAGATAAATCGACGCAAGATTTTTAGAAATCGATGGTTCAATGAAGTTCGAGGTTAATTATTCACTAAATTGAATGCACTAATTTTGTTTCACTAAATTTATTTCACTGAGTTTGCCAAATGGTTTATAATTTGAATTTAATTAACATTTGATTTTGAATGAGAACGAAAAGATCGTTAAGCTACCAGTCAGGTTCTTTATGCGCCGCGGAAATTCGCACGGCTTCGGATTAATTAATTGATTCGATATAAAATTGTAGAGTTAAGTGGGTGCCCTGAAGGGGCCCCATAATTCAAGTCGGTTTAATTAAAGCTTAGTAAAAAGCTTATTACCGCTGATGGAATGGGTTTTTATAATTTGTTTGAGTTTTCGCGTCTCGATCACGTTCACTGATTTATATTTATATTTTCTGATTGTTCACTGTGGACTGTACTGTCTGAC